CTGCTGGTGTCACTTGAGAAACATCTCTTACATCTTTACTTCTCCCCGGCTCCACATCACCACTGTATCCAAGCTGTAGGTGTCTCTTAGTGTGACTTCTCTAGGGACCGTTCAAGTGCACTAGTTGCGTGTTGTCACCATTCTAGTTCTTTTTCCTCACTTCAGGTATAGTGATTTTTCTAAAAGTGGTCCTGTCACTTTGTGCTGCTATCTGTTGGAAATCATTCCATGGCTTGTCTGTGGTGCTTAGGCAGAAAACGAAATTCTTAGCAAGACTGCATGGGGGATTCTAAGGCTGTGCAAGATCTCCTCCTACAGGGTGTTTCTGGCTTTCTAGACTCTAGCTGCCCTGATTTTTTTCCTTTTCAGTTCCTTAAAATGCTTCGTCCAAATAGGTCCTTTGTATATAATAATTTTTTTATTTTATTTCACTTTTAAAAATTTGGAACATTCTTTTCAACCTCTTAAATACCATATCAGGGTTCATTTGTAAGGGCAACTGTTCTCTTTCACCTCCCTTTTCCTCTGTCCAATCAGATTCCTTCGTTATATAAATCAATAGTTGTCTTAATTAAAATGAATATTAATAGCTGTGATTTATCAAGTGCAAGTGTCAAGCACAGTGGTAAATGTTTTGTAACTATTGTACTTAAATATATAATTTAAATTGTAAGAAAATCTGAGAAATAAGCAATCTTATGTTTCATAGTTTATGAACGAGAAAGCCAAGAACTAGGGTGATAAGCTGTTTATTCAGTTGCGTGGATATTTAGTAGATATTTGGTCCTCCCAGAGGACTGTGAACTTGGCGTAAGCTGGAACCAGGTCTGGTATTGATCAGCCCTGTTAGGGGACTGCTGGGCAGGTAGAGTGTGTTCAGAATGTATTTGTTGGTGGAAACAGGGAGTATTGGAATGAGTAATGAACTAGGATACATTTTAATATGGAAGCTAACGGGTATTCCTTTTGTTCTCAAATCCAAATGAGTCACCTATGAGATTGTTTACAAAATTCTAGACAGCTGCTTACAAATGAGAAAATGGCATTCCCAACACTGGAGATGTTTTAGAGCATCCTCTACTCTTCATTTTGATGACCATCTGTTCCATTTCCAAATGAGGCACCGATTCAGCTTAATTTTACTCATAGTTAAAGATGATTTTTTTAAAGTCCTAGTCCTTCTGGAGCTTCTAAAATAGAGAATTACACTCACACAAACACTCTTATAAACGTATGCATCTTGTTAGCTTAGCCCACACTGGGAGCGGTAATAAATAAGCCCTACGTTTCCGAGCCTTAATACTGTAGATGATCATTTTGGAATTGTCTAATAACTTCATGGGGTATTGCTGCGTGGCTGGACAGCTTTCTACCTGGTGCTTCATGACCCCTAACTCCCTACATCTTATGGCTCCTCATCCCTGAGGGCCTTTGAACTCTCTCCCACTTATGGTATTGGGCAGAGAGCACTAGGAAGGCACATCTACTATTCAAATGACGGCAAGAAGGTGCTATTTATATGCCCAAGAAGGAAAAAAGAGAAAACACATTTGAGCAAGCTACTGGGAGCCTCCACCCTACCTCATCCACATAACACAAGGCAGAGAGATGCTACAAGTGAAACATGCCCTGAAGTGTGGGGAGAGAGAGCTTGGTTTCCTGCTATGGACCTCTGGGAAGGCCTGGAGAGGAGGTGACTGAGGGGGCTGTGCAGGGACAGGTAAGTCCCTGGTAGGAAGAAGTAAGGGATCAGAACAGGCGTAGCTGAGACTGGTAACAACAGAGGTGAGGTTGTGAGAGAAAGTGTGGCCCTGCCCCTCTGTGGGAATGTGTCTTGGAGTCAAATAGAAATTATGTTAATAATCTCTCTGTCTTGGTTTTCCTGTGCTCTTTCTATAAGTAATTAAGTAACAAACAATTCTACCTTTCTCCATGAGTATCTTAGTCTCTAATGTGAAGATATGAAATAATTAGAGGGTGTGCTGGGTTAGAATTTTAATGTCACAGAAAATTTCTATTTTCAAGACTGTGCTAATTATAGGGGATGAGACTGAACAAAGGGAGGATGCAAAATTAGAAGAGCAAATCTTACAAACCAGCTCTGTGTAGAGGCGCTTGTAATCTATGTATGTAAGAGATCGATAGTGGTCTGGTATTTATCTTTTTGTGGAAAACCCTAGAGATGTAGATCTGACCATTTGACTGGTGATCTACAGGAAGCTTTTATACTCCAGTCTAAATGGTAGAATGGAAAGAGCAAGGTCTTTGGGAGGAAGAACCCTGTCCCTTCTGTGGTCTGCCATAGTAGGTGGGTGACTCTAACCCTCTAATCTTCTTCCTCTACTACACAGGGATAACAAGGCATATGAAAATGCGCAGCATTGAGCCTAGCTGATATTAGACTCAATTTTAATCACAGATCGATTTTCCTTCCCCTCCCCTACTTTCTTTTTCTAAAGCAGGATTTTATTTACCTCACATAAAATCCTTAAGTCTTTAAGAAGTGTACAAAAGTGAATGTAATATCAGATGGAAGTCCTTCCTCTAAATCCACCCATCTTCAATAGGGCCAGTTATCATATCAGTGGCTCTGTCTGAGCAGTGTCCAGGATAAAGAAGTACATTAGACTTCTAATCCCACGAGGGCTAACTCAGCTCTTCTTTACTTCCAAAGAGGATAAACTGAATATTGGCTTTTACCAAGGGGTTCTTATTCTGTTTGCAAACTGCTTGCAAATAAGACATTAAGTATAAAAGACAATCTCTGCTTCATAAACACTAAAAAGGCTATGAGAAGTCTCATAAAATTTTGGGATTTCCCCTAGGTTTTGTTGCCAGAATATGGGAAATTGATACGAGAAACAGAGTTCAAAAACCCTACAGCATGATTCATTATTCTTTGGCAAATACTGTGGGCTGCCCACCCCAGTCCTCAGCTCTGCTCTGAGTGGCCAACATCCCCAACTGCATCTCCCCATTGGCTGAAAAGATAGAGGCCTTCAGCTCAGGGAAGACACACGGGTTGCATTATCATATCAATAGCCCACATGCAAAGTTCTTGATAAAAATGATCATAATCCAGAGGAATGGATAAAATATGAGAGCTTGATTTGGGTAAACAAATCAAAGCCAATTAAAGTCATTCTACTTAATCTGTTTTAAAGCAATGCCAGGAATGTAAACATCAGAGCCATCTAGGAGGCCATCAGCCTAGAGTGAAAGGGAACGATGGAGATTTACTGTAATTTAGCCACACTGGCCCCCTTGCAGTTCTGTGAAGCAGCCAAGTTTAAAGCTTCTTGTGTTAAAATCTCTGTAAGATTTCCTTTGGCCGCTTAAGTGATGCCTCTTGTCATAGTCAGTACAGCCTCAGTTATGCTGCATTAACAGAAGCTTCCAGACTTCAGTGGTTTAAGACAATAAATTTGTCGTTTCCCCATGCTACGTGTGTCCTATGGATTACTGGGGTTCTCAAGTCACACAAGCTCCAGCTGAAGGAGCAACTGTGTCTAGAAACTCAGTGTCAGCCAGAATGCTGCAAGGAAACAGAGACAGAAGGCCTTGCGACAGCAATTAAATGCTCTAGTGCAGAAGTGCCGCTGTTTCTAATACACAGCTAACTCATTGGCCACACCGCATCCCAGGACCCGCTGAACCTGCAGAAGACCGCAATCCTATGGTGAGCCAGGAAGGTATGAAAATGGCTCTCGATTCTCACAGCTCCCGGACACTGCTATCTAAGGCAGGATAACTCAGCTGAACTTCGCTATGCAACATGGAGCTCTTGAAAGAAAGGCCATGGGCAGGCCGATTCTGCCTATGTTAGTCCTGGAATGATTTGTCTCAATTGTCTAAAACCCATTCTCTCAGTCTGGGTGCATCCTTGCTGGCTGTGTGCTGCCACTACTCCACTGTCCTCATCAGAGGGGCCCTTGGTTCCACTATGGCACGGGTAAGGCAAAGATAAACTGGGCATTCAAACACCGTCACGCAGCTAAGGGGAAAAAATGATCAACTAAAACCTCACAGAGATCTGCAAAAGTTGTGGAAATCAACACATCCAGTGCACATTGTTGGAAAGTTTATAAATAATGAAAAGCAGGAAGGAGCTGGATGAATTAGTAATATTTTATTGAATTTTCTTTTGGCAAATTAGCTTGCAGGGGATTTGCTCAGAGCTTTGGTTTACCTTCCACTAACAGCTGTACTTCTGTGGCCAGGTGAGATTGGCGTGTAGGAAGCCCTTTGCAGGGACAAGGACACTGTAGAAAGGGCAAGTGATGGACCTGGAGTCACAGCGGGTGGTGGTGGGAACAATGAGCCCAAGGATCTCAGTTTTGCCAGTTGTTGTTCCTCTCCTGACCTGTGATTTAGGAGGCTGCAACCATTTTCACCGACAACATGCTTTTTATGGCAAAAGGTGCACAGGGACTTTCTGACTCTTCATCTTGCTCTTTGAAAAATCATTTTCTATGAAATAATCATTTTAACAATTACTTGTGATCTTTAGATTTTTAATAAGTATGCCATTATTTTCTACACAAAAGTTGTTATTTTTCACTGAAATAAAAAATATTGAAATGCAGTTGCCCTTGGGACAAGGTTATTTCTGCCAAGAAGATTTAAGAATCAATTAGTGATGGCCTTGCAAACTGATTTCAAATAGGAATTGTCTCAGGTCACCTGAAGCATATCTTTAGTTCGCCAATAATTAGTTCATTTTAAAAGAGCTCACTATTAAAATCAAAGTTTTCATAAATTATAAATATGACTTTGAAAGAAATACCCTTTTAGAGCTGTGATTTATTTTCTCCCATAGCAGTCAAGAAGAGTTCTTTTATGGAAAGGGTATTTACGTACCATAGTGGGGAAACACTAACAAAGAAATAGAAACTAAACTCTTCTCTGTCCTCACTGCCCTTAGATGTGCATTTCTAAGTTAACAGCTGTTCATCTTTCTCATCGGCAGGCTGTACAGTGAGCAGTGCGGACTCCCTTACCTGCTGGACTGTGTGTGCCGGATTCTCTTTCTTCCTACTCCGGGTGCAGAGGATGGAGCACAGCCTCTATCTGTCTGATGAGAAGATGTGAGGGGCTCATGGCAGGAGGAGCTGCTGCTCAGAACCCTAAGTGGACACCATGAGAGGAAAACTTCAGACACCCTGAAAATGAATTGAGTGTAGAGAAATAAGACAGAATTCCACAATTTAAAAAGAAAAGGTTTCTACTTAGAATGGCATATAGGCAAAACATGAGTAGTTTCATTAAATGGGGGAAAAAGAATAAATGAACAGACAAGGGCTTGAGCTGATTTTAGGATTGCAAATCCAGATGATTAGCAGAGCAGGTTAAGGATAAGCAAGAGCACAGACTGGATGTGAGGTAATAGGGAATGGTAGGTAGGGGCTGTGGTGATCTGGGGAGTACATACACCACCCGGAAGGGACTACTACTCAGGTTTATTTTCAATGGTGCCATAGAGAAAATGAGTCCAAGAAATGCTGCAATTTCAGCTTTTCAAAAGAAAACAGAGTTACAGATTTGTATGTGAAATTTCTTGCATTTTGTATTTCAAAATGTAAGAAATGAAACAAAAATTTGTGTAGGTCAAACAAGTCTAAAAAGCCAAAGGCTTCATGAGGGTCAGGCTTAGCCGGACAGTAGCTTTTCCTACTGGGTAGTACAACATCTTCACTTTCAGAGCAGCAAAAATGGAGCTGGAGGGCTGACGCTGCTCATGCAAGGACACTCGACCATTAGCAGGCATGAGTAATGTGACAGGTAAACTGGATTGTCAACTTTATTGACTTGGAAGGAGCCTACAACACGTGTCTGGGTAAGTTGGGGAGGTGTGGCCTTGGGGGTCTATGTCTGGCTCCTGTCTCCTTGCTCTCTGCCACTGTTACCCTGCTCTGTTTCTTATCCATCATGAGCTAAGCACCTTGCTCTACCCATTCCCTTCTACCATGAGATTTCTGCCATAGAGCTAGTTGACCATGGACTGTAATCTTTGCAGCCATAGCCAAATTAAATCTCTCCTCCTTTAAGTTGTGAGTGCCAAGTAATTTGTTCCAGCAACAGGAAAGCTATTTGTACATGTGCCTTCCCTTTCCCTTATGACCTGTTGCTTTCACCTCTGATGGCTCTAAGCTTGGCAAAACCTGAACAGATGTGTTGGAAAAATAGATTGTAGGCCTGCCTGTAATTGCCTTCCTTTAATTGAAGTTTTGGGTCTGAAGAATAGAAGTCTAATACTGTTCATATTTTGGAAAGAGTGTGGGCTAAAGCTGAGTGACTGATATGTGGTCCCTCGTACGAAATCACACTCAGGCATTTGTTTGGGGGTGGGGCTTCAGCAGTGCGGCCAGGTACAAGGAGTTGCAGTGTGGGGTGTGGGGATCCATTTTCTGATTTGTAATACAGAAGGCTGCTTGATTGAACAACGGGCGGTGTAATATGATGGCTGCATGTGGGATTATGTGTAAATACCGACCCAGCCACTGTCTGTAAATAATCCCATACACGAAACAAAGTCCACAGAATCACAGGTTGTACTGAAGTCTTGATAAACCCATGCATAGAAAGAGTTTAAAATTGTGCTCGCGCCGGTGGGCATAAATGTGAGGGCTTTATCTGCAACCATAAATGCTAGCTAAGTTTTGTGACAACTGCTAACATTTACTGAATGCTTCCTGAGGACTAATTTACTTACATCTATTGTCATACCACAATCCTCCTCATTTTATTTTATTTTTTTACATTATCTATACTTTCACAGTGAGAAAGCCATGGCCTTGGGAAATCAAGTCTCTTGTGCAGTGTCTGAACTTGGCCTGCCCGTTTGCTGAGCCCTCCTCTGCTGTGGCTTTGAAGATGATTTTTCACATCTTCAAAAGGTAGCAGGTCAAATTCGGTCAAATACTTAACAAATCAAATGCCAAAGAAAAGGAATCCCAAAGCAAACAGAGAGCTACAAAAGTTGGTGATATTTTACTTTATGAAAAAAAAAATGTATTCTATAATGGGACTGTCCCATGGAACTCAGAAGAAGCAGGATCATGAAGCACATTTTTAGTCCATATGGACACTTTCTTCTTTTAAAATTGTATGACCCTTAATAGATTATTTACTTAGTGTTAATAAGATAATTTATATGAAGGTAACTTTTAAGATGTAAACAGGTACTGAATGTTGAATTTGGTTAAAATACCATTTTGGAGAGTTTTACTCCAGCATATAAACATTTTTTCCTTTGCTTTTACAAAATTTTTCTATGCAGAGAAATAGTGGTTTATTAAAATATGTGAAATCTTGATATGGAATATCTTATATAAAACATTATTGAATGAAGAAAAGGAAGAAATCAAAGAGGGGAGGAAATGAAACCTACTGAGTGAAGCCATGATCTAGAGACAATACCAGATATTGTTATTTTCATCATAGCTTATACAGAGAGAAAATAACAAAAGCAGCACCAAAAAGTGTAGAAAATGTGTTTATAGGTAACTCTTTTTTTCATGTGTAGCTACTGGAATTTATGTATTTCCTATCATATTTAGATGTAGCTTCATATCTCATGTACCCATTCTTTTGTATTTTCTTGGCACATATAAAACATTAAATTTAACTGAACAAAGGCAGGGAAGGTGGAATGTTTTAACCAAAATAATTAATTACTATGGATTCCAGGAAAAAGGTAATAGGAGACACACAGATGCAAATTTTCTCAGCTTTAGGATAAATTTAACATTACCCTTAATGATGATGACACATTCACAGGTATCATACAGGGATGAGGAACATATTTTATAAGTCAAAATGAAAAGGATTGCCCCTATTTGACAGTTTTATTTTAAAAGAGTAATCTCAGAATTTAAGCTAGAAGCTTGTAACTTTCTAAAATATAAAATACACATTCAACTGTTGGTTTCAGAATACAAAGTAATATTTCAAAGTCAAAAAGAAATGAATTTGTTCATTATCTACTCTTTTGGATAATTGCCATTATTGCTATTCTTCCTTGAGCAGATAATTGAAAATTGACTATATAAATTGTTGTGCTGTTCTGGGGAAATAGCCTAGACCCAACATTTGTCACTTACATTTTAATCTAATTTATAATTTTACCAGGCCTAAAAATTATAGCTATTCTAGTACATTTTTCAGTTATTTCGTTAGTATTGTAGAAGTATTAGCCCTTCTTTTTAGAGTCCTGTAGCAAAAAGGAATTTTGTCAGTGTTGCTTATGGATGAGAAATCCATTCATTTTATGTGCTTATTTAAAAGTGTTAGCTAAGGGAGAATGTTAATGATGTAATAGGATAAGTGAGTAACAGTATTTGGACATGAAATTTAGTCTCCCTAGTTCGCTTTGTGGTAACAGAGGAGTTTGCATCATGGGTCTCTGCAGTCAACACAGGGCCACACTCGATCCTGGTTAATGTGTGTCATATCTGAGATAAAGGACCTGAGTGGAGGGTGACAGAACAAAGAGAAAGCACGGATGAGCTGCCTACTGACTAAATTTCCAAAGCGAATTCTGTGATTCATTAGGAAGCCAGGAGGAGGCAACGGTTAATCTCATTAGTTAGGGATAGAAGAGAGGAGATAGAACAGAGATAGAGGAGATAGAACTTTCCTTCTCTTACTGCCAATGATGATGGACTTCTCTCTCCATTTATCTTTGTGCTGGGTGGTGACCCTGGGAAGTAGATTTTGAGACTCTAAGATCTCACACTGGAAGTTCGCTGGGGGCACGCTCTTAGAAAGAACACCTGTTCCTGAAGCAAGAAGGAACACAAGGCCAAGAGCAGCATTAATTATGATGTAGTCACAGCAATAACTGGAGCAGACCCCCAGGGAGCTATGGAGCTGGGAAGTTCATGCAGAACCCAGTGCGTCCTAGAGTTCACTTGTGTTAGGCTTGGCCAGAACTGATGGTCACATCTCTTCCCAGTTTCATCTTCAGCATTATCATGGTAGTACCTTGGAATCGGATAATTGTGTGAGTATTTCTAATACGGTTATAGGCAGAGGCTAGAAATCAGGGCTTCTCCCACTGCCTTCTCTTAGTTCTCCACATCTGGAATGCTGTTAACTGACAATTTTCTATGGAAAAAATTACTTTCATGTATCTGTGTCCAAACGTGTGACAAGTTCATAAAAGTTCACAGGGCTACAAAGAGAAATTGATATATTATACTTTTACATTTTTGTTGCTATAACTTTTCCAGGCCAAGTCTTTCGTGCTTGTTGCAGCATCATTCTAAATGTTAGTATTTTATCCCTGCTGTGCTGTCAGTGACCATTATTTTTGCCTTTCTGAAACAGGTAACTAACCCTCTCTATGGGACACAACCTGTTGTGATAATTTCCAAAGCCTATATGACAGTTATCAAAGAAATAAATACTGATAATTTAAAAATCACAACCTGTATAAAGTAGTTAGTAAAGAAATAAACCAAAATGATTTTGTGTGAAAATACTGGTAAGTCTTTGTGTGTAAATGTTTTTATTCATTCCCGCTAATGAAGTACAATAACAATAATTGTTGCATATCTTTAGTTAGTAAAAATCATAAAATATGGAACCAGCTTAGGGTGTGTATCATAACATGAAAAGTCTCATGTTCAGAAGTGGGGCTTTTGAAAAGTGACTGGGCCACTAATGAGTTCATACCTGACTGCGCTCTTTGATGGTGGGACCTGGTTGGAAAAGGTCAGTTACTAGGGTTGTGACCTGGTATTCTGGGATACTAGGGGATGTACTGGAATATATGGGGATGTATTCTTGTCCCTGATTCCTCCCTTCTCTGTTTCTTAGTCGCTGCGACATGAACAGCTTTCTGCTAGTCCGTTCCACCATGTGGTTTTTGCCTTGGAGTCAGCTTGCCAGGGACTGAACCCTCTGAAGCTGTGGACCAAAATAAACCTCTCCTCCTTTAATGTACAGGTGTTGAGTGTTTTGTCTCAGCAAAAGGAAAGTGACGAATATAGTGGGAGAAGAATTTATATCTATTCTTCAAGCCACACAAAGATTTTGGGTTGAAATTACTCTAGCTATTTCCAAAGTTAATTTCTAAAAGGGTGACCTAAGCCAAATGCTGTATACAATTACCAGTATCTTTAGAAAACCCATAGAGTTGTTGTGAGAAAGTTCATCAGTAGTGGAGAGCAGAGATTTTTCAGGGGACTACTTTGAATAGTGCTATAAATCTATCAATGTTATTTCTTTTTCATCATTTACCAAAGTTACTTCCAAACTATGTACATCCTTTTACCCTTCAGGGGAACAAACAAGAAAGGAAGAATCAAGATTTGACAGACAGAAAAAATTTCTCTCAACTTTGTTCCTTATCTTCTATAACTACACTAAATCTTGGCAATATAGCAATTGCAAAATTACCAGTTAGATATCCAATTTAGGAGAAAAAGAAAAAAAAACAGGCACGCATGGAATGGAGAAGTTGTGATTTTAATATTTGAGACTAGATTTAGGAAGCTCAGTAAGATAAGTTGGGTGATTCTAAAATTCAAATTAGAAGGTGACTCAGAATCGACTCTAGTATTTCATCTATCACTGATCACATTGTGTAACAACCATCAAAGAGGACAAGAAGCTAGATTTCCAACATAAAATCATTGTGAGTGAACAGTTATATGCTACAGCTTAGTGCGTATCTTCTACACAGTAGGGCTCAGTGTGCCTCAATATCTTCTCACATGAATTGATGAGATATAACTAAGGCCACATTTGGACACTATTGTCATTTTCTTAATTCTTGTCCTATACTATGCATTGTTTATTCAACAAAGTTGTGTTGAGTATTTTTTATATTGTCATATTCTTCTAGAAGCTGAGGGTACAGAGGAACTTGTACCCTTTTGGAGCTATGTAGTTCAGATAATAAGGCAAAGTGATGGAGATGATAAAGCATGCAGAAAACCTCTACCCTCAGTCTCTCTCTCTCTCTCTCTCTCTCTCTCTCTCTCTCTCTCTCCCCCTCTCTGCATTTTGGTGTGTGACCAAATGCATTGCTCTCTTAACTGAAACAAAATTTCTTTTTGCCTGACTGTAAAATATGAAGGCAGTTAATGTTTCTGCTCATCAATGGGACATTGGGAGGATGAGGAATATAGCATAGAGCCCTAAAAACAATTTGACTCATTTTTTTCTGATTTTTAAGCTGCAACACTCTTTCAACAATTTAACAGTACTTTAATTTTCCTTTTACATGTAATTTCCATGCTAGGTCCTGAGGGGTTAAAGAGGGCTGAAGAAAACCCAAGGTGTTTTCAGCCCTACTAAGCAAGAAATTTCAATTATCTGGTATGCCGTAAGCCCTTTAAAAATTGATATAATTTCATGAGACTTTCGAGGAATAAAAATGTTTATAGCTATTTATAAAAATTTAGGCTAGATAAATAAGTTCCTTCACAAATGATTTTGGTGAACTCAAATTTACCTTTACAATAAACACAGAATAATGGAACCTTGCTTATGTTTGGCCATCAGCCTTTTTAGTGGTGAAACTTTATGATCTTTCAGTGATAAAGAGCCTACTGTGGGATTCATGTACATGTTCACCACCACCGGTCTACAGCTTTAGGCCTCTGTGTTTATAGATGGCAGAAGCTTGTTCCTAAAATGAGGACCATTTCAGGGCAAATATGCAGAGGAGTTCTGCAAAGCTTTTGCATCAACTGAGTCCATGACAGCCTCCCTGAATTTCTCAGGTTATGCTCAACATATCTTGCAAAATTGACTGTAGTAAATTGTGCTGTGTAAGCTCATGGAGTTTGAACGTGATTTCTGGTTTTGAAGTACGATTCCTGGGTCCAGTGATCTCCTGTAAGAACGGAGGTTGACTTTGTTTTTGCTTTTGTTTTCTACAGCCATTTTGTTCTAGATTAATCTTTTTATAAATGGGCACTGCATCTGTTGCTAGGGACAGTGGATAAATGAATGGGCCAACAACTGCACACATTTATCACCGCCATTGAAAAATAGCCAAGCAAAACCAACAGTTTAAAGTACATGCTCTCCACACAGCTGAAACAGCAAGAAGTAGTATCTGTTAATACAAAAGGTGGCTTCTTGATTTATATGGGCCTGGTGTGTGACCTTCTGATTTAAGTGGCTTCCCAAACCCATGCCTGTTGGGTGTGGATGACAGCAGCCATACTGACCAGGGAGGCACAACAGGGAACCCATGCCAGTTCCCACAGGTAGACCGTTGGGAAATGGAACTGGTCTTTCAAGGACAACCATGACTGGGGATTTCTTTGTTCCAAAACTGATGAGACTTACTGAAGTTGCAGCCTGGCAAATAAGAGCCCCAGTAGGGGAGTGGTGTATCTTTGAAAAACATAGAGCTCTTTTCTCACTCTAGTTTTTTACTGATGAGCATTTAGATGTAAAAAGAAAACGCACACCTGTTACTTCCAAATTGGGCATGTTTTATTTAGTAGATCTTTCAGAGTATAGGAGGATTAGACGTGCCACTCTGAGAGTGTTTTCTAAACCTTAGCTGAGTTGGGAGAGAAATTAGTTTAGAAATGCCATGACTAGACAGACAAATGGTAGAACCTGTGTTAAAAAAACCCAAGTCCTTTTATTTTTGAAACAAATACAACTGAAGCCCATAGACTGAGGATCTCACACAACTAAATCTGAATAATGGATATCTAAGGACTACATTCTTAAGAGAAGGCTTATAATTTTCACCATAATTATGTCACATGAATACAAATTCATGCCCATTTCAGTGTTTTGATTAATTCTATTTTTTCACGTTTTGAGACCAGAATCCAGTTTGTTAAGGGCCCTGAAGGGTCCTTATGACTTTCTACATCAACTGCAGTGTTTCACTTGGGTGGTTTGCCATTCTCTGTGGATTTGAACTTGAACTTCTATGATGATTAGGCAGCCCCCAGGTTCTGGGCAGATCATGAGTTTTCTTCTTCTGTTATTGTTGTTCTCTGTTTTTTTTGCCAAAGGGAAGTTGCACATTTTAACTGGACAAATACGAAGAGCCAGCATAACAATCAAGGAAGGACCTTAGGGAATGTGTGCAGAGTTCTGTGGAACTCTATTAAAAATAATCTGATAAACTTTCTGTGGGTCTGTATATTTTCTTTGTATGGGGTCAGAAGTGGGACTCAGGAGCCTCAGTGAGTTTAACTGGATGTTACTTAAACTGGAAGTTACTTAAACTGGAAGTAATAAACAGCGATGTACTTTGTAGCTCACAGATGGTTGGAGTGATCAATGTCAGAGTTAAATGTCACATTAAGAATTACCTGGTTCTACCTACATTCATGGAACTTAGCACAATAGTAACTCCAAAGTTATGGTACCTTAAGCAGTCCATCTGTTCCAGCTATTAAAACCTTCTGCTTGGGCTCTTAAATACCAGCTAGATAACTTTTGTCTTTCAGCGCAGAAAGAAAAAAAAAATATTCTGAGAAGAGTCACACATCAAGGCAAATGTATGCATATTCCTTGAACTACATGTTTCCCCTGGAAAAAAGTGGTAATAAATACAAGAGCACCTGTGAAATATACCTCCATTAAAGTAAAATATATCTCTTTCCCAGGCCTAAATTTGTACCCCAGAATTGCTCACTACTCAATGGGATCATGCTATGTGTGATGGAGCGAGAGTATGAATGAGTAGAGGGTACTTTATTAAAAAATGTAATCTTTGAGAGAATTTGGATATACCGGGGATTGAACTTGGGTCCTTGCACTTGCGAGGCAGACCACTGAACCGCTGAGC